GGGTTTTACATTGATTTATTTGACAATTCATTATATGATCCGGCAGTTGCATTTCGCCCATCTTCTGCATCTGTGGTGCGTGTTGAGCATGATCCAGCTGGGATGCTGGCTGTGAATTTGCCGTCAAATTCCTGCCGCACTCTTCAATTTGAGTTTCTCGGTGCAAGCGCACCTAGTGGCATCATAAAAGAAAGCAGAACAAAACCAAATGGCTCTTTTGAGGTTTCTTCTGGAGAAACTAAGAGAGAAAAAAGTGATGATGAGCATGTGAGAGAAACTCACTCAACCCTCCGTGAAGTTCATCGAGCAATATTTGATGAGCAGGTATACTTCTAGGTTCCCTCCTTTTGCTTTCTCGTACTCTTTTAGTTTTCTTTTTCATTTTTTTGTGACCTAATTCGNTCTCATACACTTTTAGTTTTATTTTTCGTTTTTTTTGTGACCTAATTCTATGTCTGATTATTTTAATGGCCCTCATTGCAGGTGTTTGATTTGGTTAATCGTGAAGCATTTAATCCAGCTTTGGGTGTTGACGTGACAGGAATACAAGAAAACTTGTTACGTTTAAGCATAGGTCAAGGAGCTTCTCTGTCAATTTCACTTGTGCCATCTACTGAAGATGATCAGACTGCTGATGCTGTGGGTGATGAACATTCTGAAACTGCTATTGTGCCTCTTGAATCAGTTGATGCTTCAAAGCTTGATGAAGGGAAACTTAACTTTAAGAAGTTGGGGTTTCCCAATCGAATTAGTTTTGAAATTTATTTGCAACAAATTTTTCATGAACATGTGTTTATAAAAGCCAAAAAGAGATTATCATCTTTGGGTAAAACTCAAACGTCTGCTCCGCCCACGAAAGATGGCCCTAATCTTTTGGGACATTTCTGCGTCTCTCTAGCTCATAGGATCTTCTCAAACAAAGTCCTTGCAGAGCTTGAAAGTCTGGTATGATCTTACCTCTTTGGGCTTATAAGCTGCCAGGCAATGTAATCATTATGTATCTCAAGAATTTCTTGCTCTATCTGTAGGTTAGCAGGATACCATATGTCCAGTTGATATCGCATCCCAGTTGGCATTCTCGAAGATCATCATGGACGCTTTCCATGATAGTACCTGATTCGATTCTCCATGCAGGAAGCCTGTCTCACTCATCTGACTATGTAAAGAATGTGAAATCTCACTTTCGTACAAAAGTCATGGTACGTGACGATTGCATCAGTCTGGAAGGGGAAGGTGCTCCTAATCTTGTTGGCCTCTTCAAAGGAAAGCCTGATAGTACTTGCCCCATGAACAGATATGACTGTGACTTGTCAGATCTTCCAATGATACTGTTGCAGCAGGTCTGTGTCCTCCTCTTACTATTGTGTTTTAATATCTGAAAGTGTAACATACTATGAAAAAGAGTTCATTTTCTGGCCTGATAAACTTCTGTTCTTCCTAGAACTTGCTCCTCTTACTTTTCCTGTGATTCTGTTGAACCACCCAAGTTTTCTGAATCTTTTTCTGTTGTATTTCTTGGGAAGATTTATGAGACACGAGGATCAACGAGAGGGTGATAGCAAAAAAGGTTCTCAAATTGTTTGTCTCCCTGCCTAGGATAATTTGCTATGTAGTGGTTGATGGCCAAACTTATGGTGGATTGCTATGGTCATAAGGGAGAGGGGGAATATTGTTTTTTTTTTTAACCATAAAAACACCACAATTACCCCCCCTCCCCCCC